AGATAATTTGGGGTAGAATAAAAGAACATCCCCAAGAAAACCCGATGCTTGTAGAAGCAATGGAAGACCCATCCAGCCCACCGAATGTGCAGATTGGAAGGTCACTTGTGGCAGGTCATCAAGTAGTACCCATAACAGTGGCTAATTTCTATAAATGTAAGCAGACACTTAAGGAAGGGGCATTGTTGGGTGTGTGCCAGGAGGTAGAGCCAGTCAATATTAAGGCAAGCAATACAACCATAAAGAAAGAACACCTTCTCTCAGAACATTTAACTGTCCTCTATAAGAAGAGAATAATCCATTTGTCATCATCACAGGCTCTTCAGGTGAGGGAACGTTTGGCGAATTATGCAGATTTTTTTTCAAAAGGAGATCATGACCTCGGCTGCACAGACCTTGGGGAGCACATAATAAACACAGGCAATCATCGTCCACTAAAGATCCCTCCGAAGAGAATAGCTCCAGCAAAGTGACAAGAGATAGAGAAGGTCATGGATGGCCTAATTAAGGAAGGGATAGTCGAGAAATCAGATAGCCCAGAAGAAGGATGGGACCCAACGTTGCTGTGTGGACTTCAGGGCTCTTAACAGTATAACCGGAAAGGACTCATACCCACTGCCAAGAATTAATGATACTCTTGATGCCCTAAGTGGAGCCAGGTGGTTTTCAACTCTAGACTTAAAGTCGCGGTTCAATCATGTGAAAATGGCTGAAGCAGATAAACCTAAGACCGCGTTTAGTTACGGCCAAGGTCTCTGGAAATACTACGGGATGCCATTCGGGCTTAGCAATGCTTCAGCAACATTTGAGAGGCTGATGGAAAGAGTACTGGAAGGCCTAGAATGGAGGAGAGCCCTAGTGTACCTGGATGATGTCATTGTTTTTGCAACATCTTTTCATGAGGAAGTATCCTGGCTAGAGGAAGTATTCAAGAGTTCCAAAGCAGCGAACCACAAACTTCATCCCAAGAAATGCCACTTTTTCCAGAAAGAGGTGATTTACTTGTGTCACATTGTAAGTGAGCATGGGGGTGCGAACTGATCCTGACAAGGTGAAAGCAATGCGTGATTGGCCAAAACCAGACAATGTGGGAGAGTTAAGAAGTTTCTTGGGACTCTGTATCTATGATCGGAAGTTTGTGAAGGACTTTACAACTATAGCTGCTCCACTACATTATTTGACAAAAAAAGGCATAAAGTTTGAATGGACAGTTTCTTGCCAGCATGCTTTCAAGACATTGAATGAACAATTGGCCTCAGCTCCACTTTTAACGCTTCCAAATCCCTCACTGCCGTACATGTGTGTATATGAGTGTTGTCTCAGAAAGTGGGTGAAAACGAACATGTGGTTGCCTATTTCAGTAGTGTTCTGAGTCAACCAGAGAGGAATTACTGTGTAAATCGGAGGGAATTGCTTGCTATAATAAAGAGTCTGATATATTTCCATCTTTACCTTTATCGCGATAGGTTTACCACCAGGACAGACCACGCTGCGTTATGCTCGTTAAGATCATTAAAGAACCCACAAAGGCAACTGGCACGTTGGAACTGAAGGATAGACCAGTATAATTATAATATTGAATACAGAGATGGAAAATCTCATAAAAATGCCGACGGACTCAGCCGAAGACCCTGCAAAAATGAGTGCAGACATTGCTGCAAAAGAGAGGTCGAACTAACCAGGTGTCATCAAGCTGAAGTGAAAGTGACTGAAGGAGTTGATGATGGTGAAGTGGAACCAGATATAGATATTAAAGCAAAGCAGGAGAAAGACCAAGATTTAAAGCCAATGATTGATTTTCTACAAGCAATTGTTTTGCGCCCTGCTTTGGAGCAGGTGTCTAGCTTGAGCCCTGTGACAAAGAA